AATTACACCAACCATTTTTAAAAATCGACCCTCTGTTTTTGTTTTTAAAAATTTCTTCATTTTGGTTAGTCACGGTGCTTGTTTGTTTGTTCAGGGCCCTGTCTCATCTTTTGTCGTGTCGTACGGGTAATTAAGGGCTCAAAAAAAAATTTTTTTTTTTTTCAATATTAAAGCAATTTCCAAAGAAAAACGTTATTTTGAAATAAAAAATGGTTATTTTGAAGAAAAAGGCTAACTTTAGAGTTATAATAAACAGAGTATTCATACCAATAGCTCAAAATATATATACTGTTAAATATTTTCGGTGGAATTCAAATCTCTCAAATCTCTCAAATCCCTTTAAAAATATTAATATTGTGTAACCTTCCGAAAAGCACTGCGACAAAAATTGGCGCATATGCATCAGACAGTTTAATCAGTTAAACTAACCGGTTAAAACCAATATTCTAGTCTTTATTTGGCATATATTTTTAAAAAGGATTAGTAAAATCAGGAAAACAATAAAAAAACATACGCATACTTCCTGTTTTGTCAATAATTCATGCTGACCATAAGTAAGGACGTATGATAAGTGTATATTCTACGCCAATCCCCTGTTTTTGTCAATAATTCACGCTGAATATAGGTGTTTTATGTTATGGCTTGGTTTTTACTGTTTTCCTTATTAAACAAAATGCATCACCCAAGTAATAATAATACCAAGGCCATGCAAAAGAAAGAGATTCTTAAGTAATAAGAATCATTTCCGAAAAATAAAATGAAATAACGTTAAATCTAACATATTGAGCTTAGGTATCAGATTTAATAAGATTCCCCTTTTTACGAACATCTAAGCACTTGAATTCTTCTGTAGAATTTACTTGAAGAATACTTAAAAGTTGGAAACTTCAAACAAGAGAGGGTGAGTCTCTTGATAACAATGTAATTTATTAAACTACAGAGCCAACACAACCCTCTGTAATACGATTGCATTGTCATATCTTTAGATCGTCAGGTTATATTAGCCTTTGTATTCAAGGAATATCAGAATTTGAAATATCCGAGTTCTGAAGTAATTTTCAATATCCAATGTTGTCCATTGAATCGTCTGTTGGTATTTCCAAATTTCCCAATTGTGGATTTTTCATCTTCGACAGTTTCATTGCTTTTTGGCGTTTTTAAAATAAATATTGGTCAATTCTTCCAATATCAAGATGCTTATCATTAAGCCTTAGACGAATATAATTATAAATTAGATGTTATTTTATAGAAGAAATAAAAATAATATGTTATCAATATTATCAATGTAAGTCATCAATACAAAAAAGTATCTCTGGTTGTTAATAATAAGATATCTTCTTCAAAGATATACCAAGTAGTGATTTCTAAGAAAAATAACTGTGTTTAAGTAAAATATGAACATGTAATTCCTCCTTTTTTTAGGTCCTTCATCCAAAATTAAAATGGCGTTTTTAAAAAACCGGTTAAAATTATTATTATCATAGCAATCAGATTCAAACAGGATGAAATTCATGAATATTCGCCTAGGGGGGTTACACACCTAGCTTTAATGACAAGCAAAAAGTCAAACAATGTGTTGATCATGCATATCCCTCAATTAATATACATGAATCTCATGAATGCAATCGCTATAAATCTCTCTCTGATTTAAATGAAACTCTTTACTAATTGCAATGACGATTCAGGCGAATTTTTTATCTCATTATTTCAATAATTTCATTTAACTCCATATCAGGAAATTAAACCTACGCCGGAGTCAAAATTGACTAGCATTATACAGGAGTGTTACTAGAATTACCATAATTTCGCCATAATGCTGGTCCATTTTGATCCCCGCGTAGGTTTACGTAAGATTAAACTTCCTGATACATGCAGGTGAAAGTAGTTGTGGAGTGAAAACACTTGGAACCGAAAATTCGAGTCAAAGGCCATTTATTATATCTAAATCTATTTTAACTGTCATTTCTTCCACCGCTCCTTTTGCATCTTGATCTACAATAATCTCATCTACAACAATTCGTCCAATCATCTTGAAAATGACACTGGTAGAAAACATGTAATTCACAAAGATTTCACATGGTGGAAGCATTGAGCATAACAACTGTTTTTACGATAACTTACATAATATTTCACTAATATTGTAAAACAGTTGCAAAGCCGTTGTAAAAAACGGTTGTTGTGCTCAATGCTTCCACCATGCGAAACCTTTATGGATTACATTTTTTCTACCCATATGATGGCTAAATACAATATTTATTTGTTCATTAACATTTAAAAGTAGTGATGGTTATATATGAACAAAATATATGAGAAAATAATTGACCTCAAGAAAAAGTATCTGGTGTTACAACTTTTTCCCAATTAATTATTTGTTTTTAGACTGGATCCGTAATTGCTATTATTTGGTTTGCAAGTGAATCCGTAATTAATTGTTTTTTTATGTCTCAGTTTGGCAATTAATTTTTTGTTTTACAACTAAAGTATGTAATTAATTATTGTTTTTCAACTAAATCCATAATTATTTATTTATTTTGCAGCCGAATACATAATTAATTACTTGCCTACGACTGAATTCGTAATCACAATTCAAGCTTAGATAAATAAATTCACCTTCTGGTTTTTTTTTGAGAGTGGGTGGGAGTATTCACAATATCAAGTAAATTTGGAGACGGGATATAATCTTCAAACATCTTTATTAATTTCAGAAATTTTCATTTTTTGTTGACATTTGTTGAGCTAAAACAAAAATACTAATAATGATATTGTGTCCATCCAAATCGAACAAATTAAGAATATTTCGTAACCACTAATCTCTCATTCAGATGTTGTCAACAAGAAAAAGTCCCAGAAGGGAAGAAAATAGTTGTTGTGTCTGATTATATCTATTGACGTTATTGTATTTGTTAGTTTTTTTGCTATTACATATACCTTTGATATATATTATTATGACATCCGAATCAATCGATACTTTTGCAGTTAATCGGGAAACTTGTGTGAAGTGGACGCCACCTTTATATATTCGTAATTAGCTCTCTCATGTGTTCCATAATGTTTATGTTTATTTGTATGCTACAGTAAATATATCCTCGATCATTCTTGAGTATTTTCATTGGTTCGGGTTATCTTGGGCGAAAGGTGGATTCCAAACTCCAAAGATTGCCAGCTTTCATTACACACACTATGATTAAAACTGTGAGCACTCAACACAATTGAGCTATTCGAGTTAGTTTATTTTTTGTGAAAGATGACTCTTACTATTACTCTTTTTAACATAAGATAGTCATATCTTCAAAAATAAATAAATAAATAATTTGTTAGTGATGTCAACCGGCAGAGAAAAAAACGGTTTAACCAGCTGATAAATGTAATTTTTTTTATACAATGATAAAAAAATGATATTCTCTACTTAGAATGACGAAGAGGAAAAAATCTACCATTAATTTGCCCCACCCCAAAACCATAATACTCGTAGCAGAATAAAAGATAATAATAGTAATGGTAATGGTGAACCATTAAATGATAATAATGGCGGTGAATTAAGAGGTATATCATTGAATAATAATATTATTATTATTAGTAGTAGTAGTAATAGTGGAAGTGATAGTAATAAGAGTAGTAGTAATGATAATAATAATAGTAATGGTAATAATAGTGAACCACTAGGTAATTGTAACATCAACAAATATCATCAAATGCTTGGCCCAAAATAACGTGTCATTTATCAAAAAAAAATTATAATTTTCATTTGTCACTTCGCTTGATGTTGAATAAATCACTCCATTCTCATCTGTATTTACAACTATTCGGATAACAATTTCTTTTTCATCTTCAATTCTCATATTAATTCTTATTGGATAACATGGTTTTTTGTATTTCTTTCTTTGTTAATAAAATTCCACCAATAAACGCCAAATGGGCCATAATGGACAATTTGATTGATTTTACCAATTACTAAAGTTGTATTTTAAATTTTTGTGTAGGATTAATAAACGTGGACACTGAGATTCAGTTTTATAAAATGATTGACAGACATCTCCAGAAAAACTAACAACACACTCCAAGGCTATTCATTGCCTCAAGTAAACTTGGTTTAATGTAATAATTTTCCAACACTGATTAAGTAGCATGTTATTCGGATTTATTATTATTAAAGTAGGTTTGTAGAGGCTTTGTGGACAAAAAGAATATTCATTTAGTAGTAGTATTTAATAGTCTAATAGTTAGCTTTTATTTAGTTTTTAGTTTTTAGTTTTTATTAGATTACATACTCTTTTTTTTTCGCTGTATCGTTGAGAGTGCTCTTCTGGAAACAATGAGTGAGATTGGTAGTTAGTTTAAATTCACACTAAATGAGAATCCTCATAAAGAGGTGTTCGGATTTCATTCCATACTAATACGTGAATATGTTCGTGGAGGTCGCCTACCTTATATTCTACCCTGATGACAAACTCACTTTTTTGGTCTGCGATCACCATATCACTATGTTAAGAGGAATCAATATTGAACGGGTGTAAGGTTATGTAAATTGTCCCAAGAGACCTTGGGGATGCAGTTTTTTTATGTTTTTATTCTCCATGAACAAGTTTCTTTCTACTTTAATATTATTACTTCTTACAAAATTCTTCGTATTCATAAAAACATAGTGTGTTAAATTGTAATAACAGTGTAAATAATCACAATACGCATCAAAAAGTCATTGTTGAAATATCACTTTCAACTTTAGTTATGATTTTCGTAAATTATCCTAAATTTAGTAATGATTCTCGAGATGTACCAAAAAAAAATGGAACTCTACATTAAAGCTGGAGGGAGAGTTTACTCTATCAACTAATAAAACTAATAGAACCATTTTTTAAAAGGTAGGTCAGAAAGTGATCTCTATACTTTTAAAATTTGTGCAAAACTTGATAGGTCTTTAGACCGCACCCACTATAGTACAATTCGACAAAATTCTTTGTAAATCAAAAAATCCAAGACTTCTCTAAAAAAATAAATTAACAATGGCGGAAGGAGGACATGTACATTCTGTACTTTTTGAGGGAACAGACGTCAATGTTTATGGCTCACCAGAAAATTTACAATTTTACCCCACTCCTTATGAGGATCCTGATGGTGTATATTCAGCACAGTCAAATTCCATTTTCTATCCACCACCAATGCAACAAACTTTTTCACATCATCATAATTATCAATTTGGAGGTAGCACTGGAAGCCTTTTGAGTGCGTTTGGTACAGGCGGATTTGCTGACGAACCACCTTTGCTTGATGGTAAATAAATGTATAACTAAAAAGCGAATATTCAGAGAATAAAATTAAACTAATCAACTATTATTTATTATATTATAGAGCTTGGAATTAATTTTGATCATATAAAGACCAAGGTACAAATTAAATATATATTATAAAATGAAAGAGATATACATGATAGTGAAAGTGAAAATATAATTTATATTTGTTTGTTAGAGCTTGGCAGTATTAAATCCATTTAAAACAGTGAACAAACACATAATGGATGATGCGGATTTATTCGGGCCACTTTTATTCTGTTTGATATTTGGCGTTTCTTTGTTACTGGTATGACTATAAAAAAAATATGTTTACAAAAAATCTATACGCAAATCTTACACAGATTAATCGATCTATTTGTGTAGACAGGAAAAGTACATTTTGGATATATTTATGGAGTGGCATTACTTGGATGGGCTTCTATTTATTTGATATTGAATTCCATGAGTGAGTCAAGCGTAGATGGATATTGTATAGCAAGTGTACTTGGGTATTGTTTATTACCACTAGTACTATTAAGTTGTATTGGTATCGGCATACCTTTAAGGTAATTTATTCATTTTCTTCTTTATTTTGATCTACATAATAAGTTACTAATTATTTTTATTTATGATTATGATTTAGCGAACCATTTGGATTCATTATTTCAGCCATTTCAATAATCTGGAGCACATATTCATCTTCAACAATATTTGTAACAGTATTACAAATGAAAGAACAACATTTATTAATTGCTTATCCTATCGCATTACTATATGTTTGTTTTGCTCTTATGACAATTTTTTAAATGTTTATTTTTATTTTTTTTTTTTTTTTTTTTTTTTTTTTTGTATATATTTTACATTGTATTTTAATTTAATTTTTTTTTTTGGATTATTTCTTGTTTATAATTATTATTTAAATATATATTATATTTTCTTTCCCATTTGGAAATATCAATAAAACTTGTTTCTAAAAAAAAATATCAATTTATAATCTTAATTAAAATTAAATAAAAAAATATAAAATATTTTCGATAAAAAAAAAAAATATTTAAAAAGAAGTAAAAATAATGATAAACTAAAAAAGAGAAAAATAGTAATAGTAATAATAATATATAAAGACTATATACACCAATATATATATATATATATATTTCTAAAAAATTAACTAATAATAAATTCCACTATAATAAAAATAATAATTTTTCCTATACAAAAAAAAAAAATACTTGCATAAATATAAATAAAAATTTAAATTATTTTTCTTCTAATTTAATTAAAGCTGCGTCAACTTCTTCTTCTGGTACAACCGGTCCATGACCTGAACATCTAGCTTTAGATTTTAATTCAGCACATAATTGATCAATCTCATCATCTTCCAATTCATCAAACATGGGATGTTGTTGAATCTTTTCCCAAACTTTATTACATGATAAAAAACTTTTATTTTGAAGATCATCAAATGTTGCAAATCCGTTATTGTGAACAATATCTCCCATAAATGGATTTACACGTTCTTCAGATGGAGTTGACATCGGAGCAAAACTTCCAAGATTTATAAAATGTTCTTCAAATAATGGTGCTAAAGGGGTGGCACCAGCAAATAGGTTGTCGATATTTGGTGTGAATGGTGTAGGGTCACGGTACTCGGTGAATGCTGAAGTTGATTTGTTAGAGTTATCATTAACAGTTGAACCCTGACCATCTTCCAAACAAATACCATCAGTAAATTTAGCACAAAATTCTTTGGCTGATTGATTTTTGACGGTGTGTGTTTGCGTGGTAGATGAGTTGTCAATATTATTATTATTATTATTATTATTATTATTATTATTATTATTATTACCATTGCTATTATTATTATTATAATTACTAATAGCGGAGTTATTATTGTTGTTATTATTTGAGTTAGTAAGGTTGTTACCGGTACAATTAATACTGTTATTAGTGATATCAGTAATTGTCTTTGGTCCTTTAATTGACAATTCGGATGATGTTTCTGATAATCCCATATTGACTACTATTCCCGTAGATGAAGAAGAAGAACTAATCGGTAATTGATTATTATTGTTGCTATTGATGTTGCTGTTGCTGTTGCTACTGTTGCTGTTATTTTCTTTGCTAGAATTTAATTTGAGAGAAATCTCTGTTTCAGAAGAATTGATCGAGGAAGGTGATGATAAACCAAATACTTTTGCTGGTGAATTTTTTGAGCCATTAGCTGATCTATTACTGGAAGTATTTGATTCATTGTCGCTTTCATTTGAAGAAGGTGGTGTGAATGGATCCTCAGAATTTGTAAGCCCACCACTATTATTACCAGTAGTGGAGGTGGATGTATCATCACTAGCAGGGGTGGAGAACGTAAATAAAGTACTCTTATTATCATTATTATTATTGTTGATACCATTTGCGCTGCCATTACCATCACCACTAGAAGTTAAGTCTGATGATTCATCACCTTTATTAAGCGTAAAGTCGAAAGTGAAATTTGATTGTTTCAAAATGAAATTTTCAGCTTGCAATTGTTGAACAAGTGATTTTAATTGCTCGTTTTCATGATTGCTTTTTGCTGATACCGATTCAAGTTCTTTAATCTTATCTTCGAGTTCTTGAACGTAACGTTCTTTTCTTTCACGAAACGCTCGTTGAGCTGCTCGATTTTGAGCTTTACGTTTCTATTATTATTGTTATGAATTTTTCAAGAAATATTATAATCAACCAATTGATTAATTACATAATTATGATATTGAATGAATATATTGATGAGACATACAGAATTAGGGGTAGTAGTCAATGGCTTTCTTCCAGCCTTTTTTTTTTTCAGTGGTTCATTTAAAAGTTCTGCCTGTAAATCTTCAAAAGATGATTGAGTTCCAAGTTCTATCATTTCTTTTTTTTATTTATTTAAATAAATTTATATTATTAGCACTAAATAATGATATTAATAATGATAATGTTATTAGTATTATGAAATATTACCATCAAGAGTAAGTTCTGGATGTGGTACTGAATCTATATTTAAATTATCTGTTTAAATGGATTTTTTTATTACATGAATATATTTTTAATATATAATATATATAATTATAATATATAATATATAATATATAATATATAATAACAACTTCCAATAACATTGATAAAATTACTTACGAATAGCTTTGCTTGGTAGTTGTTGAATAATATCTCCCAAAGTTTCTAATTTACGTTTTTGGTCGTCGTCATCTCTATATTGATCGTTGGAAACGATTGCATCAATTAAAAATTTTTGAGCTTCGGGATTATCTTCAAGAGAAGTAAAATCCCAAGCGGCAAGATCACTTAAGCTAATGATAGGATTTGAACTGTCTATGTTTGTTGAAGTTGGAAAAAATGGATCCATGTTTAATCTTTTATTAAAGTAAAAAAATAAATTTATTTCTATAATATTCCAAGAGTAAACAATTGCGACAGAATTTTTGTTTTTATATATATTACATCCCAATCCCACCCAATCAGTGTGTATAAAACTCAGTATGCGAAATTGTCATGCCAACCTAATTTGGTAATTATTTGCAAAAACCCACAGATCATTGCCAAATTTGGTTAGCAAGAACCAATCATGCATGTTAATTTCAATCAAATAATTGGTTAGAATATACTAGAGTTATTGTTACACTAGCATAAATTATTGTCACAAACTTTAAAGTGAAAGCCCCCATAGGTGCATCAATAATTAATTATAGAAAAGTCATGATTTTTTTTTGAGTGAGAGCCCAGAACATGAATTATTTGAGTAGCTATTAAAATAGTCATTAATGCTGCAGGTGAAGATGATAATAGTTTATAGATTATTTGATTTTAATTCATAAATTGTTATTCAAGAATAAATAAATCGATGAAATCAATGAAAATCTCTAGAAAAATAAATGACGATACAAATATAACAAACTTGTAATTCGTGTCACGTCAAATCCATTGAGATTACCATATCATGAGTATTTTTTAAGCCATTGTATTTCTTTCACATGTTACAAACATCATTCTTTTCGTGATACGCATTAAAAGAAAAAGAAATATTATTTAACACAATGATTCTATCATTATGGCCATTTACCCCAAGTAGCCTTGTATATTGTTGCAGGTTCACAATCATCATATACTTTAAGTCGTCACACAAAACCCCATTGAAAATATTCATTGTTATGGCACACCATGCTGGACCATATTTTGTTGTAAAAAAATAATTGCAACATTGTTGTAATTAGTTGCAACATTTTGTTGTAATTAGTTGCAACATTTTGTTGTAATTAATTGAAACGTTTTGTTGTAATTAATTGAAACGTTTTGTTGTAATTAATTGAAACGTTTGTTGTAATTAATTGAAACGTTTTGTTGTAATTAATTAATAAATGCAAATAATTATTGTTATGAATAGCATAGTGGAAGTTTGTTGTTACACGAAATGTCATACAGAACTCATTGCTCCTGAAACTTTACCAGTATATAGTTG